TGTCTGTTACTCAAACTGTATTGATTCACATTTCTCAAACAAATCATTTGAAGACGACATCAATATCATGGCATTCATTTATTCATTCTTTTCCAGTTCATTTTGTGGCTGTCCCGATTAGTTCTCCAAATAAGTTCCTCGTGTCAAATTCACAGCCTACAATCCTGCCCAAGACTACAACAGTACAATCTCCAATGGTAGGTATCACTGCTGTTACTGTTATTGTATCTGTACTTTTGTGTGTATACTATAATTGGGTCAGTTATGGTAATTTAGCTGTCAGCCCACATTCTTGCCGAAGACTATGTCAGTACATCATCTGCTGGTATTTCCATTATGACTGTCATTTTGCTTGCACTGATCATTGTATTGGTAGTATTGCTGAATTTGTGCTGTCACTGCATTGGTTACTATTGGTCCTGTCATAGTTATTGTAACTGTCATTGTATTGGTAGTGTCACTGTATCTGTACTGTCATTGTATAAGTGCTGTCACTCTGTTGTTGCATGGGTACTATGCCTGTATCCATGCTGTAATTATACATGACTTTATTTTAACACGTTCCCCAATATTTCAGATTTTAAGCAGTTCTCCGTCTCAGCGCCTCACTCTCCCCCAGATCATATCCAGCAATGCGCGGGGCACCAATGTTCCCATGATGCTTGACTCACCGGGAATTCTGGGAGCAATCAGAAAGCGGGGAGGAGATATTGAAATAGACTTTGGTGACAGGTATGAGTTAGCGTTGACGTACCCCCTGAAAGACGGAATGATTTTTAAAAAACATTTTAAAGAAGTCTTAGACCAGCTCTACTTTCAGTGCAGCCAAGCACTGATGTGGAAATGCATTTTCAGTTGATGTTTTGTAGCAGTAAACTCCAAAAGCAGAAAAAAATTAAGAAATGTAACTTTTATTGTAAGTACTTTTTAGAATTTTTTTTTAATGTCTGATATGAAATTTCAGTAAAAGAAGGAAAGGAGAGAAAGGCGGCAAGGGGCTGCGTCATTTCTCCATGAAGGTGTGTGAGAAGGTCCAGAAGAAGGGGGTCACGTCGTACAACGAGGTGGCAGACGAACTGGTAGCGGAGTTCAGCGACCCCAGACATATGACCCCCACAGATCAGGTCAGTGATGAAAACATGATCTTTAGAATATAGAGTTTCTAACTGCCACAATACAGAGTTGTATATGCAGTTAAATTAAATTGAATCTTGTGGCAGAAACAGGGTCTTTAGATAATAGCATTTGGTATTCTCTGACAACTGCTTTGTCTATATCAATACAGATTTATATGTGATTGAATAAATTGAATCTAGTGACAGAAATGTGATCTTTGGAGGATATCGTTTAGAATTTTATGAAGACTGCTTTCAGCCTTGTCTAAGGCTCTATTCCCATAGATTTTAGATCGATCTATCCCCGCGGGGAGTCTCACTAGATTACTTTCAGATAATCCGACTTAAATGTCCGTCCCGCCTACTACAAGCTGTAAGGGGTTAATTAACTTTCGTGTCCGCCCGGCTGACAGCTATTTAGCGTGAACCCCCAGGGAGTTAGGTCGATCTAAAGTAGGTCGATCTAATCTATGGAAATGGGGTGTTATATTGAATCTATAGCTGAAGCGGTTAAAATCCAGAATTAGGTGTTAACAGAGTGTTCACAGTTGAAAAGCATTTCATGAATTGTACATGTTAACATACATAAGACACATTGAACCAGTACAGCTTTTATTGTGACCTCCTGTCCATCTTAGCCTAATATTTCCACCATTTTCCATCTAGCAATACGATCAGAAGAACATCCGAAGGCGCGTGTACGATGCGCTGAACGTGTTGATGGCCATGAACATCATATCTAAAGAGAAGAAAGAGATCAGGTGGATAGGCCTGCCCACAAATTCCGCACAAGAGTGTCAAAATCTAGAGGTAAGAATGTTGCCATAGAACAAAAAGTGAAAGAGAAGTTTGGTTCTTGTAAATTGACACTCCAAATGCATCTCAGTGCAGTCTACAATAGATGACAATACGCTTGGGAGTTTATTTGTTACTGAAACAGACTGGTTGTAGATGTTCTCACCTCCCTAGGGAGGATACCGCCCAGCTGTCGTATAAAAAATTACTGGGCAGAGACGGAAATTAATTTCTATATTATGAAGTTACTTTCTTTGTTTCTGTCTGGTGTTTCTGTCTAGAGAAACCCGAGGTGGTTGGAAAATGTGTTAGTTAGAGACAGAAATAGATTTCTTTATCATCAAGTGGTTAATATCTGTTTCTGTCTGGTATTCTAGTTAGAGAAACAGAGGCGGTTGGAAAGGATACGGCACAAAACTCAACAGTTACAGGAACTCATTTTACAGGTGAGATAGCTGTAGTAACGTTTATAGACCAAAGCAAGGATATTGTGTATATTTTCCTAATTGAAACTTTCATGTAGCTGCTCGCTATAATCTGAATAGTATTGGGAAGATTTTGTGTAAATTTATTCAATTGATATTAGACGATGATGTGAAAATCAATTCTTTCATAATTCCTTTGGTTTCAAGTCCATCTTTTTGCCAGCTTAAAGGGATAATAACTCTTCTTATGAAATCTATATTTCACAATAAAAACCTTGTGAATAACTCATAGAAATATAATATATTCTGTTTTACCACAAAAACATCAGTTATAGCTTTTATTCTGATATCTGAACTTGTCTTTAGACCACGTGACCTCCATTGATGTCTATACTCTGTTAAAATCTCTTAAGAGATTTTAACAAAAAACCAAACTTTTGAGAAAAAAACCAGGGACTAACTTTGAATGTAAAAATGGATTCATTAACATTTGGTCAGTATGGGAAAATTGTTGTTTACTCAAGGAAAATTCATTTTTTGGCCAAAACGAAGAGTTATTATTGCTTTAACAGTTTAGCTGAAATATAAAACCATGTTCATTGCAGCAAATAGCATTCAAGAACCTGGTGAACAGAAATCGTGATCTTGAAAAAACCCAAGGTCCGCCAACTGCTAATTCAGCCATTCAGCTTCCTTTTATCATAGTGAACACAAGCAAAAAGACTGTCATAGACTGCAGCATATCAAACGACAAGTGAGTATTCATGTCAAACCCTTATGATTATTTTATAATAAAGAGCAAAGTCAAAAATAAGGAATTAATAAGAAGTATGTAATTGAATAATTTTAAAACAAATAGATGAATGGACTAAAATATAAGACCCCTTTAGAAATTCAAAGCTCTTTTATTTCTTTTCAGGTATGAATATTTATTCAATTTTGACAACACATTTGAGATTCATGACGACATCGAAGTCCTCAAAAGAATGGGGATGGCATTCGGGTTGGAGAAGAGTAGTATATCAGAGGAGCATCTCAATAAAGCCATGAAAATGGTCCCAAAGTCTTTAGAACCATATGTCCTACGTAAGTATAGTCTCAGATAATCATGAAATGGTCCAAAAGGAATCATATGTTTTACTTAAGCAAAATCTCAGATAGCCGTGAAAATGGTCCCATAGTCTATAGAACCACATATTGTGTATCAGTAAAGCATCTCAGTAAACTAGTAAATGTGGTTCCAAACTATGTAGATCTTTATCTGTAACATTAGTTCACCAGACTTTTAACATTTTAAAAGTGCACATTCTTTACATGGAAGAGATATGTTGTGAGCTTGACAAAAAGATTGTTTTCAAATAAACACACCATGACTGGCTCCGAATTCCAGCATAAATTAACACAATAAATGGCAGCAGTTCTGTACTGAACTAAATGTAGTAATTTGTATACATTTTAGTTTGAACAATTTTTATGTAGAGCGTGGTTGCCTTTTGGTTTCAGAACTGGCCAATGTCCCTGGCGTGGCTGGGCCCAGTGGTATTAAAGTGGAGGCGTCTGCAGCAGCAAGGTATGATGGGTAATATAGTGCGATATAACTTGGCATGTTTTATAATATTGAAAATACAACCTTTGTAAAATTTAGAATACAAGCTTTGTCAGTGAACAAAACATGAGAAATTGAACAGCAGAAAAGCATAATTATTTTTTTGTACATGCTTGATATTTTATTTTCAATCAAGTGGTCATGTTTCTGCATTTTCTGTTGTGTATAAATGGGGAGTTGAATGTCTCGGTTTTAGTGCTAAATATAGTTGTCCTGCTGAAGAATATTTTGAAATGTCTTTTCTAATCGTCTTCATGTATGAAATTATATGGTTTTAGACTTTAAGAGGGGTGGGGGTTTCAGCCGTGTCCGTACAATTTATGAGCATACCTCCCCTCTGCTTTTTTTAATTATTTTTTTTTTTATCTGCAGCTGTCTGACCAATCAGCCATACTTCCTCACTTCCGGAGACAGCACGGATGCAGAAGTTGCCCTGGCAACCAGTCACATGTCCCGCCAGTCCAGCCTCGGCTCATATTCAGACGTGGCACCATCTAGAGGGGCCACGGAGACTCCGTCGGAGTGCTTCTCGGATGATGACGAGGATGAGTCTGAGCGATCAAGCCCGGTGGATATCAACTGATGGCGGATGTGGTGATACAAGGACATGTATACTTGATATACTTAATTCACAGCAGTCGTTTGTTCAAGGGTTTCTCACAACACCAGCAGTGGTGGTGTTTTTGTCACTGTTGAGTTGCGGTGATGACGACGGGAGTGAGAGCATAGAAGTGACTGTTGACATTGCAGAGATAAAGGCAGCAGATTGAATTTTTGAAAGGAATTAAAAAAAAGAAACTATTTAAGATTTTATAAAGATTGCTGTTCAGTACAAAATACAGATCTTACACTATGAAGATAACGGGAAGCAGGAAAAAGCATTTACTGTGAATTATTACTATTTTAAGTGAATGTTGTTTATTACAGTAAAAGCACAAACAAAAGAACGAGCTAGAAAAAAAAAAGAAGTGGGAAAACTCACAGTTTCTAACCATTATGACTGTACATAATATGTGTCAGCTGATGGTACTTTACCAAGAGAGAAAAAGCCTCAGAGCCATATAACATAACTTGTAGTGCAGGACACGTGCAACATGGGTCTTTTGTATGTATACATATTATTTTATAGACTGACTTAGGCCACCTGCTCTATAACTACTATTATTTCTATTATATACACGTGTGCATGTTATGTATAGATTCTTAATATCACATTTGCCCTATCGCCCTTGTTTAAATTTTCTCACTCCATCCCTCCATCCTTTTCCCTGTAAATCTTCCCTCTTGTAAAAAATTTGACATTTCCTTTTGTATCCGATCCAATATGAAAATTTACTGTCCTCTTTTCCTACCGTAACCTCTGCTAAGTAAATTGCCAGTTTTGAATTGTGAAAGATGATGAAAAGAAATTGATTTGGCAGCGTTAAAAGAAATTTAAAAATGACTGTGTGAGAAGTGAAGATTGTCATGGAAATTATTTCAAACAAAAATTTTTAGAACAAGACAAAAGGACTTAATTGAGGTATGGGGAAAAGGTAGCTTTGTCCATAATACAAGCTTTGAACCCGGTGCTTGTTTGCTTTCGACCTAAGTTTAAAAAAAGTGATGCTGTACCAAATATTAAAAAACATTAATTCACAACCAGTATTTTATATACACTTAGTAATTCTTACCAGGTAAGTGGGAAAATGTTAAATAATGAGTTAAAGTGAAGAAGACATTGGCTGACAGAGTGGTTCAATTATACATTGGTGTTGAACACAGAAGGGCTTATTGAATTTGTATCAAATTGTGTTTAGCTTTTAGTCGTGTATTTTGATGTGATTTCTATTTATTATTGCCTAGTGTTTATTTTTCCTTCTGATGGATGAAATTTGAGGTTTGAGGCTTGTATTAATAAAATTAGGTGAGAGCAGCACATGTACCTTTAGGGTTGATGAAGCTCAAAGGAAATCTGGCCTTCCTTGACAATATTCATTTATGCTTGAAGTTAACTTGGATTTGTTGTCATAAGATGAAATTAAGAATGCTGATTTGGCATTAATTCAGTTAAATTGATTTTGGTGAAACTATTATAAAGGGAGGCTAAAATTTTTACATATATTTATTATAATTAATCATTCTTTTTGACTATTTTGGGGACATTCTTTAATTGACTTGAAGTTAAAGATTTCATATCAAAGAATGGTGAAGTACGTGTTTAGTGAAGAGGCTTCATTGACTCCCCATAGTGTATGTTTTTGTGTCGTTTCTTTTATTAAGTACATAATGTTCAGAAAAGGAAAGTACAAGTTGTGCGTTCAGTGTTCTGAAGCACAGTGTTTCATTTTATCCATTGAGATTGCTATGAAGCGAAGAGCATTTTACATCTTTTAACCAACTTGGTCTTCATAAAATGTGTGCAGTTGATTACCATGTACGGGTTCAAATCACATATTTTGTCATGTGCATGTGAGAGTGACCAATACAAGCACGCG